AAAAAAAAAAAAAAAAAAAAAAAAAAAAAAAAAAAAAAAAAAAAAAAAAAAAAAAAAACTACATCAAAAATAATTTAATTCTATTTATTTTGAATTATTCCATAAGAAATAAAGATTGAAAATGTATAAACATTAAAAATTAACCAAACAGAAACCAAATTCAAGACCCGAATGAAAATGTAACACTTTTGAATTTGAATGATAAAATGAAAATTAAATGTAAAAGACAATTTAAAATGTAATATTTTAAAGTTTATGAACATGATTAAAATGGTATTCAAAATAAGAGAGTATTTTCTCTATTATTTAATAAACTTTCATTTACCTTATAAATTAGGTAAATGCCAATAAAATAATATCGCCTATTTGAATTATTAAAAAAATAAACGATCTAAGATATAGGCATAATTGAAACCCATACCCATTTTATATTAATAATTTAACTAAGGTTAAATATAAAGAAATTTTAAAAAAATCTTAAACGGAAATTAACGAATTCAAACTTCTAACATTTTGGTTTATAAATCTAAATCAAAACTTCTCTTCATTTTAAAAACTACTCTTCAATCAAATAATTAAAGAAGTGGATGGAGACATAATCAAATGAATAATTTTAATTAAATAAGGTTAATGATCACGTATTCAATAACACGAGTAAATTAAGATTATATTATCGACTAAGAAAGCAGAGGTTTAGATCTCCAAAATAATTTTTATGTTCTTATAAGTTTCGAACACCCATTCAAGTGTGTGTGTGTGCGCGTGTGCGTGTGCGTGTGTACATCATCCATCTTTGATCCCCATCTCTATTAAACTAAATAACCCAAAACTGCTCGTAACTTCATTCCAAGTTCAAACTGTGATCACATATAGCTAAATTTACAGCATAAACAACTTTCTAAAGCTCTGACATCAGAGGCTACAATGAAATTTAATGCACAACATCACATGGTGGACAAAGTAATTATAGAAGGAAAAGGGTGAATAGTGTTCACAGCTTAGTTTCAAGTTGAGATGGATACCGTAGCGTTCACATTATAAACCATCGTTATCCCTCTGATGATCGGCTCTGTTCGCCATCGAAGGCAAGGATGGGTGTGAGTCCATGCGTGGAAATAATAGCTTTAGACGAAATGCATCAACTCCATTCAAGTAATAATGGAAGAGTCGTTTTGCCCTGATAAACCCGAGACGACAATAGAGTGCTAGTGCTCCTTTATTTGTAACTTCAGCTTCTAATGTGACCTTGAGACCAAACAACATCAGGTGGTTAGTTAGCATGTCAATTCCCTTTAAAACAAAATATTCCATTACCTAAAGTACAGATTAAGAAAGGAGAGAAAACAGGTAATCCTCTCGAGTGGGACCGAAGAGATTACAGAAAACGGTGCTAATAAAAAGAGTGGTTGCAGACATGTAATATGAGAAAAGCAACATGAAAAGAGTTCACCAATGTAACAGCCCAAGCCCACCGCCAGCAGATATTGTCTTCTTTGGGTTTTTCCTCTCGGACTTTCCCTCAAGGTTTTGAAAATGTGTCTATTAGGGAGAGGTTTCCACACCCTTGTAAAGAATGTTTAATTCTCCTCCCCAACCAATGTGGGATATCACAGCCAAAGAAAACGATAGCCAAAACTGTTATACAGAAATAAACACAACGATAGCCAAAACTGTTATACAGAAATAAACACAACACGGTACCACTTGGTTCAATTTGTCAAATCAAATAAACCAAGATACGTGCTACTCAAGGCAGTAATACTGCAGGTAAATTCAACAGAAGCCGTCAATCTCAAAGTCAGATCAAGTTCCAGCTATTTCCATACCATCAAATCAGGATAACTCCCCAAGAACATTCATCCGGGTAAATATGAGCCACATTCAACACAATTTAACATCCTAACTTGAGAGTGCATTATCTCCACTAAACCGACCATATCATCAAATTGACAAATCCTACATGATTGTTGCCTAGCTATACAACATTGGAATGGAGAAAATAGATATTAATATCAAAGAATGGTGACCTTGAAACCATAAACCCATGGTCCCAGAAGTAAACAAGTTCGCATCATTTTTCCACACCTTAAACCTTCTTATAGTTAGGATTAGAAATGGAAATGAAAACCTATAAACCCTATATTTGTAGCATGTTTTCCCTTATCTGTATATGATTGTTTTCCCATATACGAAAACCTTATATTTGATTCGATGCATAGAAACAAGATCATATCATTTTAACTTAATTTATTTGATAGCTAGGACACTAAAAGAAATACTCGATAATTCAAAGTAGCTAGCTCCAAGGAGTTTCAAGGTCTTTTACTCCTATTCTACCAGAAATTTGGGTTCGTTTTAATAAATTCATCACTACTTTAGATAATTCCCGGCATTGGCTTGTATTGAAACAGAGCTTGGTGAAAGCGGAGGTCTCCAAATCCAACTTACTAAGCAATGCCAAATAGGCATGGGGGACTGAAAGAGATCTTGCCTTGAAAATACCACTTAGGATCTAAAGGAGATGACATAACAAGTATAATATTGCAGATGCAACACGTGCTCGAGCTTCTTTTCTTTTGTAAAAGGTCAAATTACTTGATGGTGCAGGCTATACAGCCATCCACTATTACCTAATAGTTCAGTGATTTGAGTAAGAAAGTAACAAACCAAACTATATAATATAGAGAAGAGAACGCACAAGTTATTTGCTTCGACTCCTTTAATGAATTAATAGACCAAATAAATATTGGAACACACGAAAGAAGAAATACCATAATTGATGTCAATATACCTCATCACAGCCTGATTCCATCATGGCTTTTATAGACCTCGTGACGAGCTCGGTAGCTACAATATCAAGAGAAATAATTATGATAATGAAGATCTATGAACCCTAATTGGTTTGTGACAAAAAAAAAGGTGTATTAAAACACATTTAAGATAGAAAACATTATGAAGTACTGTACATGTTATGCATACAAATAAATCATATTCCAGTCGACTAAAGAAGGAGAAAATTGGGATCACACCCAAGAGTATCAGCCATTCTTGACAAAGATCGGTGATGTAACTGCCTAAGCCCACCGCTAGGAGATATTGTCCTCTTCGGGCTTTCCTTCAGGGTTCTTAAAATGCGTCTGCTAGGGAGAGGTTTCCGAATACACTCGTTCCTCTCTCCAATCGATATGAGATCTCACAATCCACCCCCTTTGAGGCCCATTGTCCTCGCCGGGACACCGCCCACTGGCTCTGATACCATTTCTAACGGCTTGAGCCCACTGCTAGCAAATATTGTCCTCTTTAGGCTTTCCTTTTCGGGCTTTCCTTCAAGGTTCTTAAAACATGTCTGCTAGGGAGGGGTTTCCACACGCTTATAAAGAATGCATTCATTCCTCTCAATCGATGTGGAATATCACAGTTGAACAGAAATTATTCTAACAATGATATCGTATTCTAATATCATCTAAATCCAAGTAAGTCATACAAATAAGCCTTGCAACGAAATTACAGCAACAAATAAATGGGCAGAATGACAAATCAATCTTACAAGGAAAAACTAAACCATAGAATTCATTTATCAACAACCACTTCTCAGAAACCAGAGAAAAAAAATTTACCGATGCCTTTTCCTCTATAGGGCTTGATGACAACCAACATGGCAATGTACCCTCTGAAAGCCCCCCTATGCTCTCCCATCTTACAAACCACCGTCCCGACACATTTTCCCCTATGGAAGGCCTGGGGAAACAGCAAAAATAGAATGAATAGAACAGAAATTAAAGGGAATCGCGACAATCACGATCTAATTGGTCAGAGATTTGATACAAAAGCGAGATCAATACCAGGAATGAAAGTTGGGGCCAGAGGTATACGAAATAACGATACGTGAATATGGAGTAGGGTTCGCTGAGTTCTTGATCAACCAGATTCATGATCAGAGGTAAGTGATGCTCACCGCCATAGCTTACGTACTCAATCTCCAATGCATCAAATTCAACTTTCATCGTTTCTCCTCCTTCTACCACACTGTCCAATTTCGCTTCCATTCTCTGATCTTCTCGCCGGAGACTGCTACGTCGCCTGAAGGAATCCGGCCGAATTTTGGAGTATTAATCGGTAAGAGAGAACTTGAATGCCCTCAAAGTAATGAAGCCCACGTTCCCTACAAAATAAAAATGCTGATTAATTTCAATTATTCAAATTACTAAATAAGTCGGTTCGTATAAAATATAAAAGTTAGATAAATTTTGTGCCAAAAAAAATGCTTCATAAGTCCATACGATGGTTGGCTAAAATCACGGATACTCCAACTATATTAAAAATGGGGGCATATGTCCACCACTTTTGAGCTAGGTATCCTAAGCGAGTCATTCCATGGCACAAACTGTTTGTCACAGTGTGGACGAGTGTCACAACCATACTAAAAAAACAGTAAATTGGGACCTCCAATGGCAGTTGATCATAGAGTTGATATGCGAGTGACCTATATGGTGACGTAAAGGCTAACTAAGAATGTCTCATCCTTAAACACAAACAATTTAATTGTTCGAGTAAATATTTTGCACGAAACATCTTTTGTGTTTTAGCTGTCAATAATAGGTTCGTTTTTGCATCTCAACTCTTAACCGTCGCTCTTTCCTCCCATAACCTACACTTAACCATTTTTTTGAAATATAAAATTAGTAAATTGATATAATAAGATAATGCAAATATAATACTTACTGTTTAATTTTCACCTTTTTCGTTTCTACTAGTTGTGCCATGAGAAGGATGAAAATGATTTTATTTTTTTATTTTATGATTAAATAAAATTTTAAAAATAGAATATATATTCTATTTAGAAAATAAAGATAGAAAAATTAGATTAAGCACAAAATAACGATTTTATTTTTAAAAAAATATATTTTTTCCCTCAATTTCCTCTATTCAAAATTTACATTTAAATTTTAGTATAATTTCAAAACAAAAATAAATAAATAAATAAATAAGTTTTCAAAACTTACCTAGTTTCATGTTTATAAAATTAATTTAAAAATAAAAAATTAAATAATTATTGAATATATTAAAAAAAATGTTATTTTAAAATTTAAATTATAAGAAAGATTACACATATTTAAATTCAATTCTTTGTGTCATTGTGTAAGAAACTCGGCACCTATACAATAATAAAAAGTTAAATTACAATTTTACTCTACTTTCAAATTGCAAAAGAAGTCTTCAAAAAAAAAATTTAATTCACACATCTACTCAATTATACATCAAATTTTAAAATTAGGATCTCATTTAGGGAGGCTCACAGATGAAAATAGAGAATTATTCTTTATTATTGTACCAGTCTCCTGTTTTAATTTTTATCCTGTAAAATTTTTTTGTAGATCAATTCTAATGAGTAACATCTTTACCCTTCAATATAAAATTCAAATGAATTAATAAATATAAAAATTAAAATTTTAAATGATATATAAAATATTTTTAAAATATTTCTGCTAGTTCATGCCTTCTTAATAATAAATTTTTTTTAATAGTATTTTTTTTTTTCACTTTAAACCTTTAAATTTTTTTAGTAAAATTTCAAAAGCCATAAGTAAATAAATAAATAAGTTTCAAAAAGTATTTAATTTTTTAAAACAAAAAATTATAAGTATTTGATTAGATTTATAAAGTTAATTTTAAAAAATAAAAACTCACGTAATTATAAAAAATAAAAAATTATAAGTATATAGTTATGAAACATTTTACCTATAAATTAAATTATCAAAATTTTCTTTTTTTATTTTAAAATTTAAATCCAAATATACAAATATTTAGTTTCCATTGCTTAGTAATGCTATCTATCAAATAATAAAAATTAAATTATAAATTTATTTTTTATTTAAACACACGGAGTAATTTAATTATAAATTTAGTTTTTAAAATTTAATTTTTTTTATTTTTAGTTTAAATTAAATAAAAAACTATTTAGATTTTTTATCACTCTCTCCACCACGCACGTTACATAAAATAATAAAAATTAAATTACAAATTTAGTCCAAATGGTTGTGGGAAAAATTTATGTTTATATATGATTTCAAATTTTTTTTTATTATAAACGAAGTCTTACCATTTTAATTTTTTTTTATTTTTAAATTTAAATAAAAAGAAAATGTATATAAATTACCAATTTAATCTAAATAAAATAATAAAAAATTTAATCCAAATACTCGTAATTTATGTTTATATTTCAAATTTTATAATTATAAATTAAAATTTCAAAATATTATTTTATTTTTAATTTTAAGTTTAAATGGAAGAAAAATATACAAATTTATATTACACAAAATAATAAAAATTAAATTTTAGTACAAATTTCTACATAGTAGGAAGTTTTCAAAATTTTAAACTTTCCTTCTTTTTAGAATTCACGGTAACAAATAGAAAAATATAATATAAATTAAATTACAATTTTAATCTCAAATTTGTTATTCCTCCCCTATAATAAATTAGTTCTCTTTGCACCTTTTTCTTTTTGTAACAAACTAATTTAATCTTTTTTTACCAAAATATATACAAAATAGTTGGGTTCTCTGTAACAAAAAATAGTTCTTCCTTCCTTATAACAAAACTAATAGTTCTTCCTTCCTTATAACAAAACTAGTTATTCTCTCTGTTTGTATTCAACACTTTTTTTCTGTCACCTTAGTTTAAATTTTATTGTTAAATTAAAGGTGAATAAGAAAGTATACAGTTTTCTTTCATTTTATCACAGTTGAGTGTAACAAACTGTTCTCATTTTCTACCTCATTAACGGTGCAACAAACTATTTCTCTTTCCCTCTCTCCTATTCAACAAATCTCTCTCCCACCATTCAACAAAATAGTTCTCATTTCTCAAAAAACTAGTTCTCCTTCCCTCTTTTCCTTCCTCCTACAGTAGTTCAACAAACAAATTAGTTCTCGTTGCTCTCTCCCTCACACCTCAACAAACAAACTAGTTCTCCTTTCCCTCTCTCCCTCCCAATCAACAAACAAACTGAGTTATTTTGCTTTATTTTTGCTCTCTCCCTTGCAACTGTCAACAAATAAACTAGTTCTCTTTCTCTCTCCCACCCACAAGTTCTCTTTCTTCTCTCCCTCTCACCCATCAACAAACTAGTTCTCTTTTTAAAATTTTAATTTTTATGGTTAAGTTTAAATCGAGTGAATTTATTTTTATGATTAGTTTTAGTTTAAATATGTAACAAACTAGTTTTCCTTACCTCTATCATAATAAATTAATTATTCTTACTTCTACCCTTGTCACCTGTAACAAAAAATTTTAATTTAAATCGGAAGAGAATGTACATAAGATATCTCTCACTTCTCTCATAACAACTTCTTCTCTCACCCAAAATTTTAATTCTAAAATATTTTTATTTTTAAAAATTAATGAAAATATACACAAAATATTTCTCTTTCTTTATCTCACCATTAAGTTGTAACAAACTAGTTCTGATGTCTTCCAAATTTCACAATTCTCCTTTCCTCTCTCCTCATTCCCTCTCTCACTTGCCTCATCCATTTACATGTAATCTCATTCCCTCTCTAGCTTTACCTCATGTAATCTGCTTCCCTGTCTCAGTATTCACCTCTATAATCTCCTTCTCTCTCCCATTATTCACGTGTAATCTCCTTACCTCTCCTTACCTCTCAGTATTTATGTGATCTCCTTTACTCTCAGTATTCTCAATATTTATGTGATCTCCTCTACTCTCAGTATTTACTTGTTATCTCCTTTCCTCTCTCAGTATTTACTTGTAATCTCAATCTCCTTACCTCTCAGTATTTACGTGTTATCTCCTTTCCTCTCTCACCACAATTTCTTATCCTCGTTATCTCCTTACCTCTCAGTATTTACAATCTCCTTACCTCTCACTATTTACGTGTTATCTCCTTTCCTCTCTCAGTATTTAATACGTGTTATCTCCTTTCCTCTCTCAGTATTTACGTGTTATCTCCTCTCCTCTCTCACCACAATCTTCTTCCCCTCTCTCCATTAACGTGTAATCTCTTTCCTCTCTCACCACAATCTCCTTCCCTATTTTTGTTATCTCCTTTCATCTCTCACCACAATCTTCTTCCCTCACTCCTTTTACGTGTTATCTTTCCTCTCTCACCACAATCTCCTTCCCTATTTTTGTTATCTCCTTTCATCTCTCACCACAATCTTCTTCCCTCACTCCTTTTACGTGTTATCTTTCCTCTCTCACCACAATCTCCTTCCCTATTTTTGTTATCTCCTTTCATCTCTCACCACAATCTTCTTCCCTCTCTCCTTTTACGTGTTATCTTCTTTCCTCTCTCAGTATTTTCGTGTTATCTCCTTTCCTCTCTCAGTATTTACGTGTTATCTCACCACAATCTTCTTCCCTCTCTCCTTTTACGTGTTATCTTTCCTCTCTCACCACAATCTCCTTCCCTATTTTTGTTATCTCCTTTCACTCCTTTTACGTGTTATCTTTCCTCTCTCACCACAATCTCCTTCCCTATTTTTGTTATCTCCTTTCATCTCTTTTACGTGTTATCTTTCCTCTCTCACCACAATCTCCTTCCCTATTTTTGTTATCTCCTTTCATCTCTCACCACAATCTTCTTCCCTCTCTCCTTTTACGTGTTATCTTCTTTCCTCTCTCAGTATTTACGTGTTATCTTCTTTCCTCTCTCAGTATTTACGGTTATCTCCTTTCCTCTCTCAGTATTTACGTGTTATCTCCTCTCCTCTCTCAGTATTTACGTGTTATCTCCTCTCCTCTCTCACCACAATCTTCTTTCCCTCTCTCCATTAACGTGTAATCTCTTTCCTCTCTCACCACAATCTCCTTCCCTATTTTTGTTATTTCCTTTCATCTCTCACCACAATCTTCTTCCCCTCACTCCATTGACGTGTAATCTCTTTCCTCTCTCACCACAATCTTCTTCCCCTCTCTTCATTCACCTGTAATCTCTTTCCTCTCTCACCACAATCTCCTTCCCTATTTTCGTGTTATCTCATTTCTTCTCTCACCACAGTCTTCTTCCCTCCTCTCATCTTCCCTCTCTCACCTACTTTAATCTCCTTCCCTCCCTCACCATTACAATCTCCTCTACTCTCTCACCTTCCCTTTTTCACCTTCTAAGTGTGATCTCCTTCCCTCTTCTTCGACCTCATCCATTTACGTG